TAAAATCTATACTTACTACAAGAAAGAGAACTAGGTGTGTGCACTTGAGAGTGCTGGATTTCAAGAGGCATCAAATGAGAGGTTATTGGCAGACACTCATGTCTGTTATTCCATCTATTCCCGAGATTGAGATCTGGAAGATCGCAGTCTGATGACAGCCTGGCTAGAAAAAGTCAATGAGGTTCCATCTCTCATTAACTAACAAAAACACCCAACTTCTGTCTGAAGTGTTAGAGGCCTTGCCATAAGCCAGAAAGCCACGAGTGAGCACAAGCTCCAGTACTGGCACGATAAAACAAAAGAAGAAAAGATCCATTGATGGAAAAGCAAGAACATTGCACTTTATATATACTAATTTTTATTCCTGATAATAGAATTAAGCTTCTTTAATAATGACTGCATATAATCTGAGTTTGCACATATCTCATTAAAAAATACCCAATTTGGTATTTCTAGCAATTTGCTAATCTTAAAATAGGCTTAGTATAAAAGCTAGAACAAGACACAGATCACTCAAGTATATGCTATATTTATGTCAAGATATAGAAAATGCAGCTTATCTTGACTAAAAGAAATAGATGACCGGTCCTGGTTTGTGTGCAAGTGTGTGTGTGTGTGTGTGCACACGCGCATGCATGCGTGCATGCGCGCGCATGCACGTGTGTGTGTTTTGGTTGTAGGCAGTGCACAGACGATAAATACTTATGAAATTTACCATGATTTTGGGCTTTGTGGTGGATACATTGCTTTCATTTGTTTAAAAAATTAACACTTCATTGTTATTTTAGAGATGACATAAAGAGGGAATAAATTATGCAAGTCAGGTAATGGTACCTTTCCTTTCATATGGTATCTTCTGTTCCCTCATTCTCTCCTAGTCCCTCCCTTCTGTCTCCACCCATGGATTCTATAGTTGACTTTCATCATTGTCCAGTGAGCTCCACTGCTGCACATTTCCACCCTTCTTCTCAACCTTTCCAGAGATGTACACTTGAATGCCTCATACATAAGAAAAAGAAGAATCATCAAAAAATAAGAAAAAATAAAAAAGAAAAGAAAAGAGATCTCTTGTTTCCATACCTGGGCAGTTCTGTTTTATATAAATGTGAAAAGCCACTTAGACATTGCACTGTTGTGTTTTCTCCTAAGAGTATCCTCCTTTGGTCTCTTAACAGGATTCACAACCCTGTTGTTTGGGGTTGTTTTCTATAGGAGAGGAAATATTCTTTTCTTGTTAGATGCAGGCTAAAACTGGAGAATGGGACAGTGTTCAGATACTGAGGAAAATGATTGAGCTGCACAGCCAACAAAATATAAGATGGCCATCTTCTGACTGTGACTCTCACCTCTGGAAAAATCTCTAGAAGAAAGGAATGCAGGTGTGTTTCAGGAAGCCAGTTTTTGTTGGAATTTGGTTGTGAGTTTGTGGATATTGTGGGAAAATATTGTGATGGTATTATATGCTCCTACAAACTGTTCACTTGCTGGCAAAAAGAAGCAACGAGAAAGGCCTGGAGACAAGGTGTTCCATTGCAGGACAATTGTTCTTCCTCTCTCCCGCAGTGAGCCACTTTATCCATGTCGCTGGTGTACTTTGTAATCTTATCAAATTATATGTCCATCAATGAATGTATCCACTAATACAGTAAGCCTTTTGGTAAAGTAAAGCCTTTTGGACATGAACATTCAGATGCCTTTTCTTTTGAAATCATAACAACTTTATATGATCACTTTGATTTGGAAAGATATGCTTAGAACCAAACTATTTCCAGTGTATTATTAGGAAATTTGGCTATTGCTTTTTATTTGGCTTAGCAAAAACAGGGGTACTTCTGTGTAAAGTATTTACTATTATGAATCTCAATTTCCGTGTATATTTTTTATAGATTGAGACTTTCAATAAGATCAAAACTAATACATATTTTTCTAATACCCTGTATTAATAGTACTTCCTCTTATAAGAACTTTTTATCCATGTATCCTTCATTCTCTGAATAAAAATATTAAAAGAAATTAATATCTAAGTTGTCATTTAATATCAACAGCTTAAATAAAAAATCCTACTGTGCTTCCTTTAGTAGTCAATATCTACATAAACATTTTTGATGTTTCAAACTGATGCAATTTTGATACACTTTGTGTGTGTATGTCCCTGAGCTACTTTTTGCTCAAGTATAGCTCTCTACAGCTGAGCACTACTTATGGCTTTATTTCAAGTTGTTTTTTGGATATTAAATTGTCATTGACTTTCTAGCAAGGCTGGCTTTGAACTGTGATCCTAAGATCCCAGCCCCCTGAATAGCTAGAATTATAGGCATGAGCCTCCAGTGTCCAGCTGTTGTAGAAATACTTAGTATTATTACTTAAAATAAATGTTCATATACTATACAAATACAGATTTGGCAATGTAATCAATGTTAATTTAGCTTCCACTGTTACCCTCAATGTTCTCTGCACTGAACAATAAATAATTTGATGTTTTGAATAATGCTCATAAACTATGAAAAGAGTTTCATTATATTAAATGTCAAAGAAATCAAGTATGAAATGCAGGTGTCTATCAACATGTATCTGATTTATGCATATTAAAGAAAAATAAGCTAGGGCAGGATATCCACATCAAAATTAAGGGATAAAATACAATGGCTAGAAATAATAGATAATTCAACGATACTTGGTTGCCACACAGTGAGAACTGTGTACAAATGAGGGCCTGAAAACTGTAGTTTTTAGAAATGAATTTGAATGATTGCCAACATAATTCTGAAGAAATTAATTTGACACATGAGTAAATGATCCCCAGGGTCCATGGGATGAATTCTCCTTACAAGCATTGATGCTTGAAGCAACCATATAAAGTGGAATTAGTGTGACTTCCTACCATAATAGCATTAAAATTTTATATGGTTAAGATTGTTTATAGTTATTTAGACTTCATCATGAAAATTTATCAAGGTAGGTTTTAAAAGTGCTACTTAAAGTGTATGAGGATACTTTTGAATTAATAAAAGACAACATTATGAAACTAGGTGTTCTTTACCTTAAGTTCTTTATACAATGCATAAATTATAACTTAGGTTTCATCATGTAAAGTTACACAGCAGTAGATATTGAAGTACCCGATTTTCAGACGCCCCCTCTTAGACCACCAGAGACCACAATCAATGCAAACAGCAAAGAGTCGTTTATTGCAAGTTCCAGCTTGGTCCTCCGCGCACTCTGTAACCGGTGACGCTAAGAGGACCGGAGCATAAAATTAGAACAGCTTTTATAGGATCAAATAAACAAGTTTAGGGGGTTTCCACACAAGCAAGTTCACAAGTTCAGGGGGTTTAAGTCCACCCTGATCGCATTTCCCTTTTTCTGCTGGAACACCTGGGCAACTGTTCTGTTCCTTAAGGGCGGGCAGGGTTGGTGGCAACCTGCGGTTTTTCTGAGAACTATTTTTCTCTTTGGCAGCACAGTTCTCTTTGGAGGTTACTCAGAGGGCAGCATAGCTCAGGGGGCTTGATCTTAAAATGGAGTTACTTTAGCTCTTCAGATATATGTCAAATAATAATAATAATGACATTAACAGCAAAATATTTTAGCATAAACTTGAAAAGCAATACTAATGGAAATAGAAAATCACATCTGAGCCATTTTATTTAACAACAGAAGTCAAATTCATGAACTGATTGGGCTAATAGTTTTAGAGTTACAGTAGATAAGAGCAGGTTAGAAAATGCATATGATGTGAAAGCTAGTAAAGAAGCGTAAGGACCTGTAGCAGGAAGCAGTACTGACGGCTTTGAATTATATGATACTAATGTTTTAGAGCATTTTGTTTATCTGCCCAATTGGATTACTGAAGTAAATCAGTGTTGGCTTTCATCTAAGAGGGATTTTAAAAGGTTACAACTTGGGCTGGGAAGGTGGCTTAGAGTAGAGTGCTTGCCTTGCATACATGAGGCCCTGCGTTCGATTCCACGGCACCACATAAGCAGAAAAAGCTGGAAGTGGCACAGTGGCTCAAGTGGTAGAGCACTAGTCTTGAGCTGAAGATCTGAGGGACAGAGTGCAGGTCCCATTACTGGCAAAAAAAAAAAAAAAAGGTAACAACTTGAAGGGCAATTAGAAGAAGGAATTACATTTGGCATGAAGGGAATTTGATGGTGAATTTTACATGGAAAGAAAAGGAAATATGGAAAAATAACTGAGGAATTGGATATGTTTATTTATTTTTAATTAAGTTATTTTATTGTTATGGAGGTGATTTACACAAGGATTAAAATTACATGACTCAGCTAATGTGTACATTTTCTTTCAGACAGTGTCTTCTATTCCCTAATTCTCTCCCAGTATGCTAAAGCTTTGTTAACATTTTTCAAATATTGGATAGCATACAGCATTCTGAGATTAAATGTTTTTCATATTTTCTCTCAGTGGGGGGAGAAGTAATGATATTAAAACAGTATTAATAAAGGTACTAATTTTCACAGTAATAAAAATTGATTTAGGAAAATGGGTTCTTTGGATTGTTAGAGGAATGACTGATTTGGGATAAGAGATAAAAAAGTTAAGGGATATTTGTAGACTCAAGGAAGATATAATATTATTATGAATGCAGAGAATAATAACCCAGAGAAAGCAAACAAATCTATGTAACATAATTCTAAGAATGATGACAAATTAAGATACTATATCATCACTATCATCCTTGCAAAAATAACTAATTTCTCAAAATTCTTCGTTTCATTTTCATCAAGATTATCCAAATAACTTATTTCTTGAATTTAATTGATTTTAATAGCAGTAATGTCCATTTCAGAAGTTTTAAATCTCAGGAACTGAGTAAGTTAATAATGTGATTAATTTATGAGAGCAGGTAGGTACATTCATGCACCCATACCGGAAAATATGAGAGAACTTAATTCTAAAGTCAACTAACTAACTCTCTTGAATTTACCGTATCAACAGATGGAGAAAAAATTAGAACAAAAAAATCCAATAGCTCTTCAATGCTGGAATTTGTTCTCATGGGCTTTTCTGACAGCCCCCATTTTCAGTGGTTTCTTTTTGGACTATTTTTACTTATATATGTGACTATCCTTGTATGCAACAGCATTATAATCATAATAACCAAACTTGACCCTAATCTTCAGACACCTATGTATTTTTTCCTTAATAATTTTTCCTTCCTGGAAATCTGCTATGTAACAGTCACTATCCCAAGAATGCTCATGGACCTTTGTACCAAGAAAGGAAATATTTCTTTGTTTGCTTGTGCAGCACAGATGTGTTTTATCCTTATTTTTGGGGGCACAGAATGCCTCCTGCTGACAGCAATGGCCTATGACCGCTACGTGGCCATCTGTCTCCCTCTGAACTATATTTCCGTCATGAACCACAAGGTCTGCCTGCAGCTGGTGGCTGCCGCCTGGATCAGTACAATTCCATTTGTGATTGGAGAAACCTACCATGTTTTCTCTTTGTCCTTTTGTGGGCCCAACAGGATCAATCACTTCATCTGTGACTTCCCTCAAGTACTCAAGCTTGCTTGCAGTGACACATTTTTGAATGAAATAGAAGACTATGTAGCCACTGTTGTGTTTATCATGGTTCCTTTTCTGTTGATCATTGTCTCCTATGGCAAAATCATCTCCAACATTCTGAAATTGTCTTCAGCCAAAGGGAGGTCTAAAGCCTTCTCAACTTGCTCATCTCATTTGATAGTGGTAATCCTGTTCTATGGATCAGCTAGTATCACGTATTTACAACCCAAAACAAGTCAGTCTAAAGGAACAGGGAAATTGTTGTCTCTTTTCTACACTGTTTTTATCCCTACTTTGAATCCCATCATATATACTATGAGGAACAAGGATATCATGATGGCACTCAAAAAACTAAGAACAAAGTTATTGAAATGATGTGAACACTGGAAAACTCAGACATATGAGCCTTTCAGGTTTGGCATGTACTCAAAAGGAATAAAAGTGATTTTTTCCCTTTATGCTTTAAAAATTCTATAGTATTAAGCTAACAGTCTACACTGTGGCCCAACTGCACTTTTTCAGGATTTAAAGATTTCTGTGATATCAGATCATTAACTCAATTATAAAGATATAGGTAGGTAAGTGGATAGATAGATAGATCAACCTTCCTTTCATTGTTAGCTTTGTTGGAACATTTCCTGGGTTGCTCAATGAAAAATTACAACATCTATTTATTAAAAGCTGAGCTTCTTCAACATTCTCATTTTTTCCATGAATTTTCCTATTGGAAATGTATCTAAGTTTTCTAATGAACAGCACTCTAGCAAATTTTTCCATTCTCTTTTTTTCTCTTTTGTTTTTATGTTATGTTGTTTTGCTTATATTTCTTGTTTCCACCTATCTTCCTCTTCCTGTTCTTTTACAATTGCAAATGATGAATGTGTTCAACTTTTTATTTTTTTTTATTTTATTTATTTTTTATTGTGAAAATACTGTACAGAGGGGTTACAATTACCTGGGCAAGATAATGAGTACATTTCTTATCAAGCACTGTAGCCTCCTCCTTTGTTTCCCCTTCCCATCCCTTCCCAGCTCCCCCACCCCCTCCCGAATGTGTTCAACTTCTATACACTCCTGCAACTCATTCTCTAATCATTTCTACCCAACCGCTCTACTTTCTCTTCTTCATTAATTATATTTATTTAGCATTAAATTTTTCTCAAATTTTTAATGGAAACTATAACTTATCAACATATATTTTAGTGGTTTTAACATCTGTCTCTCAGTATAACAAGTTTGACAAGAAATGTACTTATATCTGATATTAAAATAGAAAATGTTTCCTTTTCTGAAAACAAGAAAAAGAGAAATGAAAAAAAAGAGCAAAAGGAAAAAAGAATGAAAGAGAGAGAGGAAGGGAGGGAAAGAAGGAGGGAGGGAAGAAGAGAGGGAGGGAGGGAAGAAGAAGGAAGGAAGGAAGGAAGGTAGGTAGGAAGGAAGGCAGGAAGGAAGGAAAGAAGGAAGGAAGAGAGGGAGGGAGGGAGGGATATTTCACATACATCTAAGTAAGGACTTTTAACTGAGATCAAGATGACCTGAAGTAGATATTTAATCTGGCAAGAGGCAGGAGGCAGAAGTTTAGAGAAGTACGAAAACACAGAAAGAGCATATTCCTGGAAATGGCTAGGAATGACACTCCAATAAAGTACTTTATTGGTATTTTGACTCTGGTTTATAGAAATGTCAGTAACAGTGTTTGTATTGTTTTACTCCATTCAATATATGTTAATGAGTTAATGTAGGCTTAGGAAAATAATGTGCAACATTAACAATCCCCTAATGAAGGTCAGTTACTCAAATAACCCAAAGCAACTTCATATGATGTACCTCACTTTTCTTCTGTACGTGCATCTAAGTTTCTGAACTGATGAAAAGTAAAATATTTACTCTCTTTATTCTAAAATGAAACAACATACTATACTATATTCCTAAATAATACTTAGTAAGGAATTTCTGTTAGGATTGGGGATGTGGTTCAGGTGGTAGAGTACCAGCCAATGAGAGAAAGTGTCAGAAAAGGAATTGGAGTCCCATTGTAGGACTAAACAAGAAAGAATGTATCTGCCTATATTTTTTGTCTCAGAGCTTTTTAAGGATTTGATTTTCATTTCTTAATAGTGCAAGACAAAATAAGAAGTGATGTTAAACACATTATTTAGAATATATTAAGATATTGTGATATGCCTACAGTTTACTCTTTCATGCCCTAGCTGCTTAGCTTCTAGGACATAAGACTGGCTCTAATTAATATCTGTTCAGGAAATTCTGCTAACAATCAAATCTTCTTCCCCTACCACTTGCAAGGAAGAACTTGTCCCCTCTGACAACTTGATATCAGCTTTGGATACCATAAGTAAAGAAACCGGCACCTTTTGCAAGACTTATGGGCTAAAGCGACAAGGAGGTTATGAAATTTTTGTTTGTTTTTGTTTTTGTCGGTCGTGGGGCTTGAACTCTGGGCCTGGGCGCTGTCCTTGTGCTCTTCAGCTCAAGGAGAGCACTCTACTGCTTGTGCCACTTTCTATTTTCTAGTGGTTTATTGGAGATAAGTGTCTCACGGACTTTCCTGCCCAGGCTGGCTTTGCATCCTGATTCTCACATCTCAGCCTCCTGAGTTAGCTAAGATTACAGGCATTAGCCACCAGCGCACGACTGAAAAATTTAAATTAGTAAATTTGATATGATTTGTCAAAAATATTTTTAAAAGATCATTGAATCATTTCAATGCTATCAAATTTATTCATTACTCTTTTTGATAGTGAGTTTGAGGAAAGGCTCTGTCATTATCTTTGGACTAGATGTGTGACTTGTCATTAAGACTAGTCAATGATCTTTGACTTTCTGTGTAGAGCCTAAACAACCTGTGATGTTAGTAACTCGTTTGCACTCACTCTGAACATTCCAGAATCATGAGAATATTCAGAATACTACTTAAATTCCTAGAAGTGATGCTCTTCTTCATAATTGTAGGTTTAAGATTATGATTGACAAATATATCCTGGTAATTTTTTGGTTTATTACTCTCAGACAGTGTTTGTGTGTGGTGTGTGTGTGTCTGTGTCTGTGTATGTATATGTGTGATACTGAAGATAAGTGTTCTACAACTTCAGAGATGACAGCATCCCTTTTTCATATGCTTTTATTGTAAAAATACTGTACAGAGGGGTTACAGTTACATGAGCAAGGTAATGAGTACATTTCCTATCAAGCATTGTTACTTTGTTTTTCCCCTACCATCCCTTCCCTCCCACCAACACAACTATACTCCTCACCCCCCAACCCTCCACCCCCCACCTAAACTGTAAAGTTTGTTTTTCAACATAGTGTCTTGTGCATCTCATTGGTACAATGGGGGCAATCTGTATTCCTATTTAAGCATTTTTATTTTTCCCTTCCCCTCCCCAAATTAGAAAAGTGTATATACAAGATGCAGGGCATCAACATCAAATACAGTGAAACAGGGGTGAGGAACATACAAAGAAACAAAAAAATCATATGGTACATTATAAATACGTTTTGTTTTGCATTTTGTATTTAAGATATATCTGGGTAACTTTGCCAGAGTTAACCTCAGGTATATGATTCTCTTTCCCACCCTTCCAAGTCAGTGGGATTTCAGGCAATATACAGTATTATAGTTACACTGGCACCTCCTCACCAACCTTCGCTTCCCCCTGCTAACTGTTGGACAACAGCTTTCAGCTGGTGTAAAAGGTACTGAACACAATATTCTACCCAAACCCAGAAGACAAGGTATTTGAGATAGAGTAAGTCTTTTGAGGCCAAAGAGATACTTTTTAAGTAGAAATTAAAATCTGCAGGTAGATGAGGTCACTGGGTAGATAAGACTATCTAAGGAACAATTTATGTTTTCAAATAACAGAGTGTGGGAAAAGTAGTTTAGATATCATTATTTATGTATATATGTATAGACTAATTTGGTCAGACATGGTAATACTACTACTAATAATAATCACCCAGCCCTTTTGCACTTTTATACGGTCTTGCAGTTTTTGTCTTAAACTATCCTCAGAATATAATCTTCCTAACTCGGCCTCCCACACAGGTGCAATTATAGCGTGAATCACCATACCTAGCTTGTTTACTGAGATGGAGTCTCATTTGAAACAGACATTCATTAACAACTTGAATCACCATACCTAGCTTGTTTACTCAGATGGAGTCTCATTTGAAACAGACATTCATTAACATTTGGTCTGGGCTACACCTGACCTGAGATCATCCTAATTTTTAGCTCCTCAGCCCCATTACATCAGAGGCCTGGTTTTGTATCTTTGATTGTGCTATTTATTTCAGGTGCAAGTATTTGAATCTCTAAATAATCATTTATTCATTTACTTTAAGTTCATTTACATGATTTTGCCATAAAAGTTTATTTTTTATTGGCACATATTATGTTGTGTTTGGTAAGATATTACATCACGACATTACATTCTTGTGTAATGTGTACTTTGATCATACATCAGATGCGGTCCTTATTTATTATTTGTTGGTTGCTGGTACTGGGACTTGAACTCAGGGCCTCTTTGGTTTGCATATTCACGATTAGTGCTCTACAATTTGAGCCATGCCTTGAGTCTGTCCTTTTGCTAGTTAATTGGAGGTAGATTCTTTCTACTTCTCTGCTTGGGCTACTTTGAAATATAATCCACAAGGTGGCAGCCTCCTGAGTAACCAGGATTAAAAGCAGGAGCTGCCCACACCTAGATGGATTCAACATTTTTGATGCTACAATAAATATTTCTCTTTTGGCCTTTTTAATAGCAAGTTCACTAAGTTCAAACACAAAATAAATTTAAGAGCATTGAAGAATACAAAGAATGATTATTTTAATGGGAATTATTAATAAAAGTAGACATTGTGGGGCTGGGAAGGTGGCTCAGTGGTAGAGCACTTGCCTTGCATGCCTGAGGCCCTGGGTTTGATTCCTCAGCACCACATAAGAAAAAAAGCCGGAAGTGGCACTGTGGCTCAAGTGTTAGAGTGCTAGCCTTGAGCTGAAGAGCTGAGGAACAACGCCCAGGCCCAGAGTTCAGGCCTCACAATCAGCCACCCCCCAAAAAAATAAATAAAAGTAGACATTGTGAATAACAAGTAGTTATAAGTTCAAAATTGTTTTAAACTTAAGAACTTAATGTTTAGCAAATACAAGAAGAACAGGCACCATCTTGGTAGCTGTTTGGTTAAATTATTACATTATTGTTCATTTCCTTAACCCTTTGGATTTTCTTTCAGCAACTAGAGACTTGAACTTACATCTTGGTTTTCCTTCTTAATATATGTGCAACCCAAGAGAAGTTATCTAACCTCTCTATTACAGTTATATATGTATATATATATATATATATATATAT